GAGTTACACAGAAGCGTAATCCTGAGAACTCTGACCCAGCTGTGTATTTCCTTTCTGCTGTGTGTTTAACAATTCTCACGCAGCCAAAGGATTTCAATGCACTGAATGAACCCTTTCTGTATATTGGGGACTAGAGATGTATTTTGCAGCTATATGTAGAATTTACAAGGTTATGACTGCAGCCGTTACACATGATTATTGTGACCTATTTCTGGCTGAGCTGTAGGTGCACGCTAAGAATTTGAATTTATCGTGGTGGTGGGGGGGTTTCACATCTGCTTATGCTCTTTTCACCTCTGATCCTCCTTACAACTTAGGCAACATCTCTCATGCCAAAGGAAAAGAGTTGCTTTTGGGCTATCAAATGAAAAAAAAACAACACTAAACAATCAAATCTGCAAAAAGGAATGCAATATTGCCATCACCTGACTGCTTTGTGCTATTGCATACAATAGACTTCCTGACCCTGACAGAACCTCATCATCGTGTCACATTTTGTTGTGCCATGAGACTATTTTAGCCATCTGCTTCGATGTGACAAGTGCTCAACTCCTCCTCTGCATGATCTTACAAATAGAAATCATTAAATTCAGATGGTGGTTCTCTTGTCTGGATGTGTGGGTGTGGGTGTGTGTGCATTCCTCATATTAATGTGTGTGACAGCTTGACAAGCAGTGTTGAACTCTTAAGTTCACCTGGAGTTGAATAAGCAATAGGAGTAGACAGGTTGAGTCTTTACCGGAAATCCCCACTGCCCACATCTTCAAATCAAGATCAGATTGTGTTACGTCTCGGGCATCCTTCTAAATTAATACTCCCTGACTTGGTGCAACATTTTAGTCATAATGTTTTTTAAAAAGGAGATGGAGGAGGCTTTCATTAAAACATGTGCAGATGTGTGAGGTAAATGGAAACAGGTGCAAACGTGGATACAGAGGCAGAACAGCTGGGCCGTAAAGACACTTTGCACTCGCTTCTTGCATGAAAGTGAAGAGGTGGTCGTGGAGAGAGTGGGATGTAGTTATTGTAGATAAAAAACAGAGATTGAGGTGTTTTTTGTCTTTATACAAGAATATACTGTCTGTTTACTTTGCCTAAGGCCTTCTCAGCATGTCGCCAGACAGATGAATGAACATCCAGCGTGACAGACAGTTGAAATAATAATAAATATGCTCCCAATCTTCCGTCCAACCTTCCTGCATTCTACAGCATTTTATTACTGTTTGTGTGCATACACGCTTGAGTTCATGTGCCTGTGTGAGTGTTTGTGTGTGTTTATTTTTATGGGATGCACAAAGATGAAGCACATGGAGCATCCATATGTATGAAATGTACCATATAAATAAAGCTTGACCTGACTTGACTCCTCCCAGTGCCTGACATTACTAAAGTCAGTGAACTGTGATTTGTACTATGATGTGAGGAACTACAATGCTTCAGGGACTTCTGAGTGGTAGGGATCACGTAGTCATATAGCTCCCACTGAGGGGTTCAATTCCTGAGACACAAGGAGACAAAAGGCCTAATGGATTTATAGGTCCACAGCCAGAACCGCATGATGCCAGAGGCAAATTGGCCGCAAGCGCCCACCTGGCCGTCTGGCTGTAGAATCAGGTAATTGCTTGGTCCAGCAGTGCTTTGAGGATAGGTCAATGCATTGTCTCTGCACAAGGACTCAACATCCTGGGGCAGAGGTTGATTTTGCACTTGACTTTTGTTGTAGGAAGTTGTGTCCAAACTTTTGTACTTTTAAGTAATTAAAAACAAAAGTCTTCCATCTCTTGTATTTGCTGCATGATGCCAGATCCTGCATGCGTGTCACCACGGTTACTGTGTAATGATGCAACCCAGATAAACAGAGAGATTTTAATTGCAGACCAGCCTGCAGAAGGGCACATTAATATATAGTATTATTACACAATGCCACCATCTGACTCTGCAGGTAAGTAAGCTTTAGTGCATTTATAACCACTTGTCTAACATCTCATTTCCAGTTTGTGGTGCAAGAGGAAAGATGTGCCCTGAGGGTTCCCCATTTGTCTCCATCTGACTCAGTGAGGCATTCTTTGTAACACTGTAGTGGGCAGATGAAGCCATCTAAAAACTGAAGCTAAGCTGTGTGTATGCCAGGAGAATGTCTATTTTTAGAATTAGAGTGCAACTTCTTTATATGAAATAGTCTCTGTCTGCTGTCTTCCAGGCAAATGTGAAGGCTTTTTCAACAGAGGCTTTTAATTAGGTGATTCTCTCACATCAGCAGAGGGAGCCACAACTCTTATCTAGATATCCTTTTCTTTGTGGAGACAAAGCGAGGCTGTGTGACATCCAAAAAGGCAGACTGCAGTGTGACCACAATCACTGTCTGGACCAGAGCCCGACGGGACTGCACACACCCACCCACAATTTAAAACCCATAATCAAGATGACAAGTGCTTCTTTCAAGGTGAATGTATTATTATTCCAAAGACATCTCGTTTTTGATTCTATTCCTCTAGCATTTATTAAAAGAACCAGTGTAAGAATGGGTCTTTTTCATGTGCCAACAACTGGGTACATTAAAATACAGCAGTCTACCTTTTACTTAGTTCTAAACTTAAAGGTTATCTTGTGGAACAAAATCCAATAACAACCAGTGTTGATAATACTCCATTTTGTAGATTAGATTCCTTACAGTTCAAAGCAGTGTATCACTGCATTTTGCATCCTCCTGAAATATAATATGCATTTGTTGTAATCGAAAGTTGATATTCGTTTTCTCATGTAGACAACGCTACATGAGTCCAGGGCCAAGTAGTCTTTACACAATGCGCTGTGAAAAGCAAGTAATGAATGTAAATGTCAAATGGTGAGTCATTTTTTTCCTAAATCTGACAACAACGTTACACTGTCACTGTCATATTTAGGTTTGCAAACTTAATAATAGAGTCATGTCTGCAATAACACTATTAAAAATGTGGCCCCTGTTCCTTTAAACACAGAAACAGTTATGGTGAAAGCAGTCACGGCCATCATATCTATTTTGGAGTAACTTCTTCTTACCTGTTTTACAGGAAACTCAGTTGCTGTCGATGTCTCCCGCTGCACCCTCAGCTCTTTGTTTATCATGAAAGGACTGTAAATCTGGGAGGTCTCAGTGGGCTCCAGTGATGGGCCTCCTTCCCTCTGACATAGTGTATGCCCAGAAGAGGGAGAGAGTCATAAGATTTATATACCGGTCCGTTCACAGCCCAAATGTGACAGATGAAACGGGGGTTGAAACTCAATATCTGAAAGATGAAATGTGATAAAAATAATACAGCCGTGCTTTGATATGCTACGTTTACAGGGGAGCTGTGTCCCACTGCGCCCTGAGATGCACTGACACACATACATGCACAGAGCCTCCCCAGCTGTATGCGAGGCAAGTGGGAGAGTACATCCTACTGGTGGTTTACTGTATCTATTGTGAAGAGCTTTATCACCGCCTCAGCATTCTGTCTGCAGGGTGGTTTTGTGTATTAAAATCTAGCCAGTAATACATCATTAATGCTCCTTTAATCCAGCAAGAAAACATTTACAGGATTGCTATCTCTTTGCGCTGGTGAAAGGTGTGCGCAAAGCCCGATGCAAAGCCAAATTCATTGTAAAGTGCAATTTCTGACAATTAAACTGAGTGCTTCTTTGGACTGGCTCTAGTCTTTTACTGTAGCAGCTGAGAGGAAAACAGAAGGAGGATAATGTGGTGTAGCTCAGGGCAGGGTAATCTGAGGACAAGGAGGATGGAGAGAGAGAGAGGAGAAGGAGATTGCATACGGTTCGGGGCATTGCCTTTACACATGAAAGATTGAGTAGAACATCTGCCATATGTGCTAAAAGTACCTTTATGTATTTATATTATAAGATGATGCAGTATTTCAAAGCGTGTTTCAGAAGCTCCTGTCAAATGTGTGTGTGTTTGTCAAAATCAGTGAGAATACAGAAAGAGAGAACGTGTGGGTGTGTTTCAGGTTCATTTAAGTGATAGAAACTGCATTCCTGCAAATGTCTATGGAAGCCTACGGTTCCTCTACATCTTTACCGGGTAAAAACAGTCTGTCCTCTGTCAAGGTTTAGTGCAGCGAGATATTTCTCTGCTTCTCCTCTGTCCCTCTCCCCTCCAACTCCTCCTCAATCTCCCTCTCTCTCTCGCTCTCTCTCTCTCTCTCTCCTTAATGAAATAATGAAATTGCTCTCTCTTTTCCTCTCCCTCTTGCTGTTCTGCGTGAGCTGACACTTGGCCAGATTCTTTGGTGCAGCAGACTAGCTGAGTCATAAAGGTTTCAGGGCGCCCTGATTTATGGACAGTGATGTGGATGAGGGTGAGGCAGCAGGAAAAACACCGGTGTCAGCTCACTGATCACACAGAACCACGTCAGGATGGAGACGACCTGCTGACTTCAAATAATGGAAAAAACAACACTACTGTAACTCAACTCTTTTACTCCAGACTTTGGTTCTGCAAGTCAGTAGAAACCTAATGCAGCTTTATTAGCTTTGTCATGTTGAAAATATGAAGCTTAATACTCTCTGATAAACCGGGATTTCAAGTTTAATCATTTGTTTTTTTCATGCATTTTAATTGGCTTGGTATCTTTTGCTGAAAAAGGCTTAAGACAACACAGACTCGCTGACTGCACTAGTTTGCAGCAACCCCCCCTCTTCTAGTCCCATTGTGATCTGATTTATCAGTGTAGCTAGATCCATGCGCCCTTTGGCTGCCATTAATGTACTTTTTCCATTAACCTCCATTAACATTCTGGTAAGAAAGCAGCATTTTATTTTAAACCCAAAATGAAAAAGGAGCTTCAGGCTAATTGGCAACTAAAAATCTGCATCCTTGTTTGTGATAGTGAGTCACAGAGCCTGGACATTGAATATAATTTTCTGCTTATGCGTTTAGTTGCGCTAAATGTTATTTGATTTGACACTTCATTGCAACTGCTTGTTTTTATAAGTACAAGTGAAAAGCCTGGAGCCAGCTCTAGGTTGACAAGGCTTCAAGGCTTTATTGGAGTTCAATGCAGCACATCATGGACTTAAAGCACTCAGTGAGGACTTGAAGTAAGGCATTTCAAACTGGGTATTGCACATAAAGCATATTTTGGTGACAGCGAAGCACCAGCAGACAAATCTCCACAAAGCAGAATTTCTACTCCTGACAATTTCCGTCTTCGCCATTAGCTTTTACAGTTTAATTTCTTTGCTGTTACAGTGTGCACATGTGCATACATGCTTTGAGTCACTCAAGTACACTTTTGAAAGAGATTTTCATTTGGTTTGACTGAGACATCTCTGCAGATAGAGCAGAGACAACATCCTTGAGCTACAGGCTAGCAGGTATTTTTAAACATGTAAATCTAAACTTTTTTATCCGATGGTTTGTCATCTTTCTCTTCAGCCTCCACCTCCTCTTCTTTTTCAGTTTCTTCCTCCTCCTTCTCACCCTCTGCATCACCCTCTCCGTCTTTCTGCTCAGCATCCTCTTCTTCTTGAGGTTGGCTCTCCTCCCCTCCTTCCTCCTCGTCTTCTTTTTCGCCATCCTCTGCCTCACCCTCTTCAAATTCATGGCAGAGGGAGATAAAAGTTAGAATTAGTTTCCTACACATGTACATATAAGTTAAACAAAATGATCCCACTAACCTTCTCCATCTGCCTCTTCATCTCCCTCCTCTTCTTGTTTTTCTTCCTCTTTTTCTACGGCCTCCTCTTCCTCCTTCTCCCCCTCTTCCTCCCCCTCTTCTCCCTGCTCTTCCTCTGCCTCCTCATCCTCTTCCTTCTCATCTCCCTGCTCCTCCTCTTCCTCCTTCTCTTCCTCTTCCACCTGCTCTTCCTCCTCTTCCTCCTCCTCCTCTTCCTCCTTCTCCTCTTCAGGAGGGCTGGCCTCTGCCTGCTGTGCCTGGCTTGCGGATATTATCTCCTCAGTGGAGAACGGTGTAGCATACAAGCGGGAGCTCAGCAGGTATGGAGCTGCAGAGCTCAGCTGAGAGTGCAAGGAGACATGTGTTCTGCCATAGGATGGAGCAGAGTACATGGCTTGGGAGTAAACAGCAGCAGGCCCTGGTCCACCCACATTTAAGCGATTCTCTTCTCCTTCAAGCAGCTTCCTAACAGAATAAGGGAACACATTATGAATAAATGAGATGCTAAATTATTGGTGCTGGTGGGATTTATTTAAATCCCACAATTATAATGCAGTATATAAAACAGTGGAGAGATTGTGTATGGGGCACTTACCTGTATGCTGCAATTTCGATATCCAGTGCCATCTTCACATTCAAGAGATCCTGATAATCTTTTAAGTAGCGAGCCATGTCATTCTTGTTTGCCCTCAACTCGTCCTCCAGTTGACTTATTGTATCCTGCATCAAAAGCATCATGTTAGCAATACATTATTGGCTGGATGCTAATTACATCTCAGCTAAGTATCAAAAGGATAATTAGAGCTGCCATCAGACTAAGTTTAACAACTAAAAAAAATCAGGAAGTCGCTTAAATCATTCTTATATATATATATCACAGAAAGGATATTGTATTAAAAGATAATTGCAACTCTTACTTTACTTCTGTGTCTATCTGTACCTCACCTGCAGTGCAGAGATCTCAGCACTCTGTTTCTCCTCCACCTCCTGTAGTTGGTTTTCCAGAGCTTGGTTCATCCCACGGCAGGCGTCAATCTCCAGCGTTTTTGCTTTGAGCAGCCGACGATATTCTCCAGCTTCATCTTTGGCATTGCGTGCACTCTCTGTGTTGCGAACAGTGCCTACTGTCATCACGTTCATCTTGTTGCAGAACCATTCTTCAGCTGATTGAAGATTGCGTTGAGCCAGCTTCTCATACTGCACTCGAATGTCGCGAAGAGCAGCAGACAGGTCTGGTTTGGCCACCTCCATCTCCACTGACACCTCTGCACTGTACTGTATTTGGGCCTGCAGCTCTGCAATCTCACTTTCACAGAGGCGCTTCAGGAAGGCCAGCTCATCCAGCAGGGTCTCAACTCTTTTCTCGAGCTCAACCTGGCCCAATGCAGCTTCATCTGCATCCTTCCTGGCATCCATGAGCCTGCCCTCTGCTTCTTCTCTGCCGAGAACTTCATCCTCATAGCGTTTTTGGAGGTTCCTCAGCACGTCGTCCATCTCATCCCTGTGGTCCTGGGCTGCTTGCTTCTCATGGCGGGCCTCTTCCACAGCAGCACGGAGCTGGCGGATCTCGTGCTCATACAGGGCCCGAAGGTTGGACGGCTCCGTCTGCCTCTGCCTGAGCAGCAGGAGTTCAGTCTCCAGCAACTTGTTCTGCTGCTCCAGTTCATGGACCCTCTCAATGAAGCTTGCAAAGCGGTCATTCAGGTCCTGCAGCTCGGCTTTCTCCTGGGTCCTTAAAACCTTGAACTCAGAACTGACTTGGGCTGCTTGGTCAAGGCGTAGCTCAGTGGCAGCTGCAGACACAGGAGCAGAAAGTACGGTGGAGTAGCTGGAAGTAGCTCGGGTGTATGATGGGTAGCCTCTGCGTGAAGAGGCATAGGAAGTTATCGGGGCAGAGTGGGTGGAGTAGGCAGACCTAGATCCTATTCCTCCGCCAGCTCCATATCCTGCACTGCGCACCGTCACTCTCCTCTTGTAAGTAGGAGGGAAGTAAGGGTCAAAGCCGGTGGAAGTCATGACTTGAGAGATGAGCTGCTCTGTGTCTGGGAATGTAGCTGGGTTGAATGCACAGTGAATCTGCATTACTCCGGCTTTTATAGACCCTGTAATGACTGTGACGTAAGCTATTTTTTGCAGGCATGCTGACAGAAAGAATTGATAATGGTGCCAGCCAGCCAGTCTCGGCCAAGGGAGAGATGGGGTGGGGTGAGGATGAGTGTGGGGGGTGGAGGAGGCGGGGATAAGCAACGATGGAGCAACAAGGGACTGCAACAGACAGGGTCACTGAGGACAAAACAGTATACTGTTACTCCTAAAAAAATGCATAAGTTGTTAGAATTTGCCACAATAAATCCTGACAAAACATAAGATGTGTCATGTTCATGCAGAAAATGCATAACAGAAGCAAGATAGAAAAGCTCCTGTCATAAAACATGACACAGCTTTGTACAATTTTGCATCATTTGTCATCAGTTTTAGACAGTATACTGAAGAAAACATGATTATGATCTAAATATCAGAATGAAATGTCACAGCAAGGCAGTGCAAAGGAAATCAGCAAATGATCAAACAGTTTTAAGATACTGTGATTTCAAAAAAATAGCTCCACAATCTCCATGACACTATTTTACTTGATTATAGATAAAAGTTTGCCCTCTAGTGGTAGTCTGTTTAACATGCAGGTTACACATTAATGCTAAATAATAGAACCGAATACACTAATATATAGTGTAGAAGACACTATATAATATTAATGTGTACTGTACCTAGCTATTCCCTGGTTTAGCCTACATAAATTGCATATTTAATAAACATAATCAAGGACTATAAATTTTGGATGCTACTTTATTTATTAATAAATAAATCCATTAATAAAAATGTTTCATCTGAAATAAGCTAATATGAAACAAATCCTGAAATAAATAAATGAGGCAATAAATGATTTAGTGGCTTAAAATGACATTTTTTGAAGGATTATTACCTTTTTTCCTCGTGCCACATTTATTTCATTTTTCTCCATCTGTTATACTTAAATACATAGCATCCCTTTAATTCATATGAATATGTATGTATTCATTTATTCAATATAGGAATAGACAGCATTTCACACTATAAGGATTGCTGCTGTAGATATAGTCTAATCTATGGGATACGCAAGTACAGTTGATACATTTATATTTCTTTAATTAAAGGTTAACGCTGATTGTTTGTTGTGTTTCAATTCACAGGATAACACCACGTGTTCCCTAAAAAAAAAAAAGCAAACGTGTATCCACAAACAAGACATTGTACAGAACATGCACTTTAAGCTGTGTTTTAACACAATTATGACAAGTTTGAAAGCTTGAATATCCAACAAAAATAAATGAAAGTTAAGCTGATAATTTTCTCAACATATTTTGAAGATTTATTTTGGTGTTTATTTTATTTTATTTTATTTTATTTTATTTTGCGTACTGAACCATAAAATCGTGTACCTTCATAGTAAGTCGTATTTCACTGTTGTCTGTCTGGTGTGGCTTCATCCAATATCGTAACATATGATTGGTCACATGAGTACACACGCAGGGTATCGACCAATGAGCGACGGTTTTACTAATTGGCGGGTAGCAAATGTCATGCTGTGACGCAAACGCTCCCAACCATGTTTAACAATAACAAAGGATGATGGATAAATGAAGTTTCTAAATTGCTTTGTGCTTTGTGGCTGCAGTGTTTGCTGTCTTGCTCAGGTATCTGCAACTTTACAGATGCAGTTAAACCGGGAATAAGCGGTAGGTGAGTCGCCTCGCTTTGCAAGTGTTGGTCTCCCCGGTGAAACACAAGCTAATGTTAGCTCATAAAATGTGTCTGCTAATTTCAGCTAGCAGACGAAATAACATGAACTGTCAGCCTGCTCGTCGGGAGGGTATTTTTAGTATTTACTGCCTGGAGTTCTGGTTGTCTTATTGTCCAGTGGAGATATAAACTTGTTCGGGCCAAACTGAGTTCTGTCCCACCACAGAGCTAAGCTAGCCGTGCTAAGTTTTAAGTGATATTTCGGTAAGGTTAGCTAGGCTGACACAAGCACCTTGCGATGAGTAACTGCGTCGAGTGATAACTATACGTGGTTGAATTGCTCTTCTCTCTTTTTAATGCGTTGTTTAGCTCTTAAATGCACTCAAAGAACCGGTGAATAGTAGAGGTACTTTTAACGACAAGGCAGTCAACTTGCATTGATACATGAGAGACTGGGAGGGTAAACATGGCACTAACGGTTTTCTGTTCACTCTCACACTTTTCTGCAGATCCGATCAAAATCTGCAAACCGTGAAGGCGGAAGGGCTGCTTTCCAGAAACTAACATGGTAGGGTTAGTTTTTGATTGAACTATATCATCGAATACTGTTTTGTATCAATGCACTTAGATTCCCCCCCTCCGCGCCTGCTGAAGTCGTTGTATCTGCTGTCTCTTTGTTGCTCTTTACAGATTCGCATTGCAGCACTAAATGCTGCTGCGACAGCTGCAGATGAATCTCAAGACCCGTTGAGAAGTACCAAGAGCCAGACAAAAGAAGCTCAAGTACAGACTATATGAAGATGAATCATCAATAATAAACCCATCTGCTGCTGCTAATTTTTTTTCCTTCATAAACAAGTCTGATTTTTCTTTAATTTCTCTCCATAGGAAGCGGAGGCCTTTGCTTTGTATCACAAAGCTTTGGATCTGCAAAAACATGACAAGTTTGAGGAGTCTGCAAAGGCCTATCATGAGCTTCTCAAAACTCCACTGCTCAAAGAGGTAAAGCAGTGCATAGTTGTCAATAAGTCTTCGTTAACATGGTTGCACTCTACAACCAGAATTGTGTATATCTATAATAAGAGCAGTGCTCTTGCATAATTACAGCAATGCATCATAACGTAGCTAGGTAGCTCACGGTGTAGACCTAGACTGATCTATTTTAATAATTGTAATAATAATAAGTGCGCACATCGCAGAAGTTGTTTGTTTTTAAGTCCTCTGCAAGCATGGAGACTGCTTGAGGTGTTCACTCATGACCAGTTTTGTAATATTTTTAGGAAAATATTTATTTATTTGTCTTTTGTTTTTATGTCTGATTATGCCAAATATGGTCTGTTTTCTGTGCAATGCTGTGTCAGTATTCTACCAGTGTTGTGCAGAAATTTTGTTTTCACTGATTAAATGAGATTTACAGTATGCATTTCTAATTTGACTATTTAGCTACACAAACAGTTTGATGGCCTTAAGATGAATCTGTACTACAATGTGTTTGGTGCTTATTATAAATTATTCTGTGACATTTTAGGCCATGGCCTCAGATGATCAGAGAGTGGGTCTTAAGCATCCCGGGCTGATGTTGAAATATTCAACTTTCAAGAACTTGGCAAGCATGGCTGCATTGCGGGATGACCTCGAGACTGCTATGGAGTTTTATTTAGAGGTAGAACAATACCAGATACAGTTTAATTGTTTATGATCATACATGTGAAATATCACTACTTTGTGCAACTAAATGTGCAAGAAAAACACTTGAGTGTTCAAGCCATATTTTCTGCTCTGTTCTTTTCTTAGGCCGTGATGTTGGATTCCACTGATGTAAACATGTGGTACAAAATTGGTCAGGTTGCTGTGCGACTGGTGCGCATTCCTCTAGCTCGTCATGCATTCGAGGAGGGATTGCACTGTAATCCAGATCACTGGCCCTGCTTGGACAACCTCATAACTATTCTCTACACACTCAGTGACTACACTTGTATGTAATATATTACTGTAAGCTATTTGCTCATTGCCAGTAAGAGAGATTAGGTATGGAAAGAAAAGTAACTGTACTCTGCATGCTTTGTCCAGGCTGTTTGTACTTCATTGCCAAAGCCCTGGAGAAAGATCATTGTTACACTAAAGGCCTGGTGTTGAAAGAAAAAATCTTTGAGGAGCAGCCTTGTCTGAAGAGGGATACGATGCAGATGTTCATGAAATGGTGAATCCAGCTCACTTTTTAGATCTCCGTCTGTTTAGCTTCATACTTTCACATCACTAAAAAACTTTCTTGATTTGTTATGGCTTATTTTCAGTGATATGTCTATTCACTATGTGGAAGTGGAAGAAGAGGAACGCAAATCGATTGTGGAAGAGGCACTGGAGATACGGAGGCGCAGGCAGGCTCTCTCACACTGTGAACCTAAACCCGACCTTGTCCTGATTCAGCCCATCCACTGCCTCTCGTAAGTGCTGTATTGTTGTTCTGTTTTTTTCCAATCTGGCTGGTTTAGTTTAAATTGCATTTTCTTGTCGTTATTTAAATGAGAATTGCAGTGAATGTTTGAATAACTGTTATTTAGATAGATTACTATAAGTAGTAGAATTAAAACTTATGCACATCTAGAATATTTGGAATTGGTGTATACTGTGGTGGAATTCTTGGTTGAGCTCCTCTGACATTGCAGTAATTGTTTTCCGGGCTGAGTTTTATGAACCTTTTGTTAACCTCTACCCCTGAGGGGTGTAATATTTACTTTTTCCTATAGTAGTTTTTTTTGTGGTGAATCTGAACCCCCTCTGTTTTATTTCAGATGGAAGCATGTGGGCGAAAGTTTTCTCGCAATGTACAGACATCAGACCACATGTGAGCCACCTCGCCCGAGTCTTGGCCGCAGGATTGACCTGTCAGAATACCGTGACCCAAACTTCCTCCAGAACCTCCCCCAGCCGACCAGCCCTGTCAGTATGGGCCAGACCACCGTGCTAAGCAGCAGCCCCAGTTCATCCCTGCCACCAGTGACCTTCTCTGAACCAGTACTGCCCCAATGCAGCACTCAACCTCAACTCACAACCAGCCAGGCCACCGTGGAGGTCACCACTTCTGCTCCACCTGTTGGTTAGTTGTCTATAAAGAGACATGTTTTTCTTTTGCCTGCATATGGGTTTGTTTTTACCAATAATCTGTAATATTGTTAATTTAAAAAAATCTTCTCAAATGTTTACAGCTACAGCAATGGAAGTTTCACTGACTGATAAAGTGAAGAAAGCTCCAAAAAGGAAACGTGTGGTGGAAGATAGTGGGGAGACAGCTAAGCGACGTTCAG